GCAAATACTTCAGAACCATAATATATATATATATATATATATATATATATATATAATATGATATATCAATAATACTATATGTTATATAGATATATATATATACTGTAAAATAATATAATAATAATAATGGTCTAGCTTCAACTGACTCATGATTTCAACCTGTGAAATTTACTAAAATCTCCACAAACCCTTCTGATAATAATCATCTGCTCACTAGTGACTGACTTCAGGAGAACCTCCTGGAGTTCTAGTGAGAAGCCGTTACCAGTGGAGTTCAACCAGGTCTGTTGTGTGATATCAGCTCACTGAAGACAATGGTGTTCGGTGGCGCAACTTCGTGGATTGGTTGAGGTTAGACATTAACACCGTTGGATGCCGGCTCACTGGTCTAATGGTTAAGTGCTCGTGCGTGAAGCCAGTAGGTCCTGGGTTCGAATCCCGCGGGGTGCGGGTTCGTGGATGTGCACTGCTGAGGAGTCGCGTGCTAGGACGAAACGGCCGTCCAGTGCTTCCAGGTTTTCCATGGTGGTCTAGCTTCAATTGACTCATGATTTCAACCTGTGAAATTTACTAAAATCTCCACAAAACTCATTCTGAAAGTAATATATTTGTTAGGTAGTTCATATAAGTAAATTTAGCGAGGAATGGTAGTTAGATATGGAATTTATCATGCAAATATAATCTGATAACTCTGACTCTTGCATAACTTTTAAGTTCACTATTCGATCATTTGATTACTTTCAGACTTCATTGGAATTTGAGTAATATAGGATAAAATGATTTCTAGAGTTATTTATATAATTTCAAACACATGATTAAATACAAACTGTATATTCTAAAGCTCACAGATATTTTTTTAAAAAATACATAAACTACTTTATTAAGTAGATAAGATTATAATGGGTAGATATTATTCCCAAGGTTTCAGAAATATTGAACAATAAACCTATTTATATTCAACATTATGAAAGTGAAATTTATATTCTTATTAAATACGCTTTTTTCTATAGAGATAAGTAAAAAACGTTTCCCTTTTTGTAACTAACTGATTTTAAAAAAAAGAACGAAAAATGTCATCATAACTATTCAAAATGATAAGTGATATCGATTTAATTCGGATTATTATGGAAAAAGAATATCTTTTTATCAGTAGAATGTCTCAAAGAACGATTGTCAACAATAAGAAAAGGGGTTAAAACCTTTATTTACTTATTCTGGTAGAGTTTACTCTAAAAGACTATTGGATATGTTGATACAACTATGTGACTCTTGTGTTTATAAAGAGTAATAGTACGTACTATACTATTAATAGAAATAATTTGAATTTCCCCGTTGAGTTATATGAAGAATAATTCCTGGAATGAATCTTTATACTTTAAATCTGTACTATCAATAAATGTATGAAGTGAATTCAGTCTATAAGTAAATTCTATGTCTCTTACAACTCATTATATTGCTATACTGACTGGCATATAGTTACGTTTTTACAGCTTCAAAAATAAACTCGTTGAAGAGAAGTTTTTCACTGAATTATTTATTTCATAACTATTAAAGAAGTTGGTTGAATAAAACTAAATTTTGGGATTTAAATATTTGATGTTTAATTTATTCATCTGCCCTTGAAAATTTTTATTATAACTATGGCTCCCGTTTTATGAACATATATTTACAAGTAATATTTCCTTATTTGTGATAGTAGTGTAGTGAAGGAGAGCACAGGTGAGGACAACCGAATTATATTTAGCACAAAATTACAGAGTTACTTGGTGAAATAGAAAAAACCATACTATAATACTTAATTTGCAAAATGTTCAATAATTGTCTCGAACTTCGTTGTTTTTGCATTTCCATACTAATTGCTTTTTATTCCCGTTCTTTCTTTCTTGATCTTCCCAACCTTCTGTTGCCAGACATTACATTCCTGACTCGCGTCATATACTACTTATACCAATATAAGTAACACGCACCACAGTAGTACTTTTTTCTTACTAATGTTGTAATTTTTGTCTTGTTTCACTTTTCGATGACCATACTAATTAATATTAACGCAATTCTTTATTTGTGAACTGTATTTCAATATTCAGTATGGACTAAAAAAGAAATCTGATTTTCTGGAAGTAGGAACACCAGATGGTTCAAGACGATCATCAACTCATCGATGCTCTGATGTCAATTTAAATACACATCGTCGATCTGCTCAAGAGGATTCATTTATGAGTAAGCGTTTTTGTTGTGATCGTTTGATATTTTCAAAATCATGTAAGATTTATAACTCGAAATATGGTGTTAAGAAAGTATTTAATGTTACAGTGGCTAATTATTGTTTTATATATCTATGGTAATGTATAAGGATAGTTTAAAAAAAAGATGACAACAAATAATATCGATAGCCATAAACTTCTGGTTCAGTTGTTTCTTGATGCAGTTTATGAGTTAAAGGATTCTACTTGACAAAAAATACATTGCGATATACTTGGTTAGTTAACAATTCACATTTATAGAGTCAGGATATTTTATGAGTACTTCATAAGTTTTCTGAAAAAAATTCTTAAAATATATGACTCGAGTATTATAAACAAAGATACGTGGTGACTAGCAGTGGAATCCAGAACACACGTTTCGTTCTATATGGGAACTCGTCAGTTGGATGTACCTGCAAACCAGAGTCGATGTTTACTCCGAAGGATTTAACGTTTATTTAAATCGATAGGCATATTCTGATTAGATTATATGAGGTATTGAAAGGTTTTCAGTACAATAAAAAAGAGAATAGCATGGAACTGCAAAATATACTTTTTTACTATTATATTATTCTAAAGAATATATTGCATGGTAACTTTATCTTACGTAATCACACCTTTAAATACTGATACTAAACAAACATTATTTTAGTGTAAATGTTGGTAAAAATATTCACACTGAAACTGCTTTTTGAAAAGTATACATTGAATACAATACAAAGTATCCTAATTCTAATTTATCTGAATAACTTTAAATAATCAATACAATGAAATCCAATAAAGAAAATGTAGCTGAAGACTCGATTCGAAAGATAAACGGTACGTTGATGACATCATAATCATAGGGGATAAATAAGAACATGTAAACTGTTTGTTAAAAGAATTCAATACAAGTCAAAAGCATATTTCTCTTACATGTAAAGAAGAGAAGAACAACCAACTTCCTTTTCCAGACATACTGATTAGTAGGAAAGATGAAGTTCCATCCAACGTTCTATATATAGAAAAGAGACGTAGACAGGGCAATATCTTAGCTTCCATAGTCACTGTCCAATTCATTACAAACGTAGATTAATAAAGGGCTTATTCAATAGAATCAATCGTATTTGTACTAGTGATACTATTGAAGTAGAGACGAAGCTGTTGACTGATACGTTAATGAATAATGGTTATTCATTGATGTTCATAAACCGCTGGAGGGGTAGCAATACGATTAGACCTATGACGCTTTTGGCATCCAATAAGCAAGTTTACTTTATGTTACAAATTAGAGGCGACTCAAATAGTCTCATTTTGAAACGGAGACTTAAATTAGCCATCAGCCGGACATTTTATGCAGACCAACTTGTCATTATTGAAAAGACAAGATCTATGTTTTACCAAAATCCCAAACAGCACGAAAGCGATTGTGTCACATCCCATTGTGTCTATCAATTTGCATGTATGTGTGAAAACAAGTACATAGGAAGGAGCGATCGTGATTTGCAATTAAGGGTGGATGAACACATACCAAAATGGCTCCAGAAACAGATGAATTTCAATGGTCAAATAAGATCACAGGGTAGACAGACCTCTTCCTCTATTGTGAAATATTTGTTTGAGACTTGTCATAAGGTCGACATCAAATCAGCATTTGTAGTGTTATACAAAAGCCTTCAAGGATATATACTAAGGTTTATTGAAGCCTTGGCTACACGGGAACTGAAACCCCCTTTTTGTGTTCAAAAATAATTTGTCCTTGCCCTTAACCTACCCTGATAATACTGATTTATTATCCAGAGTGGTAATCACATTTGTTTGTGTGTACTTTCATATTATTTTTTTTCCTTTGTTATGACTTACCCTTAACCTGTCTTATTGACCTTTTAATTTTGCATATAAACATGTCTTAACAAGTATTTTATGTGTATTGCACAAATATATCACATAATTCTCATAAACTTCATCTTTTTATTGTATTATCGAAATAAAGAAATGATAAAATGAAACAAATCTGTCAATCCCTTATTTTATAATAAGAAATATATTACTTTATATATTTTATTAAACAATTAGGATAATTTATTAGAACGTATAGTTTATTATTCTAGTATACCTTTGGACAATAATCTTACATTGTTAAAAATAACTTATACTATATATAATCCAACTTTAAAGTATAATCAATATTTGAGACATTAAAGAAGAAGAAGGTATTTGTAAAATCTCAGCGAAAGAAATTGAAGTAAATCCAACGTTTCGCTGGCAATCTTATCCAAGCCTCTTCAAGGAAATAATAATAATTATGTCTCACATTAACTCGGTGCCCCAAATACTATGTAACTATTCGATTAAATTTAGACGAAAGTTCTTATTTAATAATCAATAATTGTTTAAGATGATACATTTTCCTTTCTTTTTTTCTTTTCTTTTTTTTCAAAAAATAAATTATTTTTACATATATCAAGAATTTATTCCAACTGCAATACAAGATGTTGCATCAAGAGTAGTTGAATTACCACAACAATTAGCAAATCAGGCAACCGATAAATGTTGTCTTATGTAAACTAAAAATTTTTCCTAACAACAAAAAAGATTTATTCATTTGAATTGTATTCATACTTACTTATTGAACACCCCCATATACATATTTATTCATCGTTTTTTTTTGGTTTTTGTTTCTTTTCAACGAAATCACAACCATCTAAGTTAGCATATATATATATATATAATTGACCATTGTCATTAATGATATTATGGTTAATGTTGTAATTTCATTGAGATTATTAAGTTTATTTAAATGTTTAATTGTTTATCTTGATTGAAATAAATATTTCAAGTAGAATACTATGTAATTATGTGGTTTTTCTTGGGGGGGGGTGGTTGAGAGGGAGGGAGGTTAAATAATTTTCATACATGTAAAGGATAATTTTCGTTTTGTTTCGTTTTATTTTGTTTAAATCATTGTGTTAATAATTATAAATGTGAATGATTATCATTGGATTGATTAATTACTTCAATGAGTCAATTCATAACAAAGTAAATTATTTATTATTTTAATTAACAGAACAATGTTAAAGTCATCTGGATATTTTTATTATGCGCACCGCTGAGGAGTCACATGCTAGGACAAAACGGCCGTCCAGTGCTTCCAGGTTTTCCATGGTAGTCTAGCTTCAATTGACTCATGATCTCAACTGTTGAAATTACTACAATCTCCATTAAACCCCTTCTGATACTTTTATCATGAATTATAAAAAAGAAAAAAAAGAAGAGGATTTTACATACATTTTATTTAGAGTATAGTATAATCTCCGTATTACAAAGTATAATAAATAAATATGATTGTTGTAAAAATTAAAACTATTGAAGTATGAATTAATAAGTGTAAAATTACTTTTTGAAGTTAATCAACCAATTTAGCTGTTATCATGAAAGGGGTTTTGTGGAAACTGTAGTAATTTAATAGTTGAATTCATGAGTCTATTAAAGCCACACCCACCATTGAAAACCTGGAATTACTGGACCGCCAGTCTGTCGTGGTATGGGACTCCTCAGCAGTGGACGAAACAGCCGTACAGTGCTTCCAGGTTTTCCATGGTGGTCTAGTTTCAAATGACTCATGATCTTAACCATTGAAAAAAAATTAGTTAAATTTTCGGAGCAAGTGAATGTTTTTGAAAAACATGACATATCTGACGAATTGTTTCTTCTGTTACAAAACTTCAATGCTAGACAACGAAGAAATAAATTAGGTATTTAAAATGATTTATATCACAGATTATGTTTGAGTCACACGATTATCAAATTTATTTTGTTGTATCCCGACGAGGATTAGGAATGTTAACTTTTGAGAACTATTTATGGATCAATATGATACATATATTTTTATTATACTGTTGTTCGGTAGCTAAACTATGCATATTCATCATCCACTCATTATAAGCTTTATTTTGACCCATAGATTAATATCACACGATTTGCCGTTCTTGAGTTATGCCCATTCTATTAATTACCGTCTTCTACAATCACAGACACTTTTGGTTAGATCTTGTACAAATGTTATTTCCTATTTTATGGTACGATGTGGTCTGTTTGGTTTGTGCGTGAACACAGTATGTTTGAAATACATGATTTATATCGCAGAGGCTGTTATTGATGTTTTGGACTCAACAGGTAGGGATAGGCAGGAAGAAGGACTGATAAAGATTTTATACTGCTCGTACGGGTTTTATCCGTCATTGGTCCGGTCGATAATTTACTGTTCTCTAACTGGTAATATAATTACGTCATATATTGATAGGGGCACAAGGCCACAAGATATAACATATCTGTGATAGTATTTTTGATAACATAATAAAGTGGTCAAGTGGTAAACACTTGATTGAAGTAACTAGTTAGGTTTCTATAAATCTAGACATTAAGTCTTGACCAAAATATCATGAAAATACAAAACAAAACAGTCATCTGATGAATAAACTAAACTGTACGAAATTATTGTTAAGATTTAGCAATAATAAAATTGATTACTTATTTTGTATTAGATGTTAAATTTTAGTTAAGAGCAAAATTCACTCAAGAATTTAGAAATATAGGGACTTTGATCATAAATCCATATAATGCAAAGTTTATGGAATCAAAACAGTTTTGAAGAAAAAAATCTCTGGATTAGAATTTTCCAACTTTATGTTTAAATTCGTTAATGCATGAGTTATTTATATACGATGCTTACATTAATAGCCAGCTCATTCTGCTTAGAATATGCTCTCTAATATCTATCAACGTGATAAGAATGTATATTTGAGTGCTTATGTGTTGGACTTTGATGATTATTCTTCTAGAGGTATAGTGATAATTCAATTATATTTCAGAAAGAGGTTTCTAGGTTACCCAACAGTCTAAGTAATCATGTTTACTAAGAACTGTATACTTCTCATTTTTGATGAAAATACTATAAGTGAGTACTAAGTAGGAAAGATACTACATTAGAAGACCATCTTATGGTATTGGGATGCAGAGATGAAGCTAACTGCTTATCAAGAGAAGCATAACAACGTTAAAGTTCAATGACAACCATGTTAACGAAAGAATTCTATAGGAACTGAATTATTTCCCAAAGTTACTCTTTGATAACTAATGGTTTTAGTAGCATAAATGATTATAGAAATATCAGTAACGACTGCATCTGTCGTGCCTGATGTTAGCGACGTTATTTCCATGCAACGTTATCAGTATTACAGAGATATACGCTGAGAAATGTAGATTCGTTGAGGTTAATAAAATGGTTATTCGAAAGAGGAAGTACAAAAGCGGCAGCAGATTTGGTGAGTAGTTTTTATTTTTGAATTAAAGTGGATTTTTGAGAGTCAAGAAAAACATCAAAATAAATAACACTTTGAAAGTGTGCCAGATTTAATAATGCCGGCTTTGGTTATTAATATAAAAAATATATCGAATATGGGACAGAACTCTACACATATAATTGGAGGGCTTATAAGTGCGTTAGAAGGCTTGGATACAATTATTATATCGTTGTTCACAAGCGATACTTTGTTGATTTCTTTGTAAGAGATCATAGTAACAACTTAGACGTGTGGGAACCCCCGAAAGTTTATTTAGGTCGATACAAAGACTCCCCTGGAATAGTGATTTCTAATCATATGTACTGATACTTATACAGGTATTTTCCTGATTTGATTTCGTAAAAATATGTTAAAAGTTATGTAAATAAATGCAATATCCATCCTAAGTTCATTTATTCTCCATCGGTTTTTATTTCAAAACTGACCATTATTTAAATAAGGCAAAAACAAATATTGATGCAGAATAGTATGAGTTCATAATATTTCGAGGTTTCTCGTCATTTGTTTACAACCAAATATGTAATAGAATTTTTACATTGAGTGTGAAACAATTGACTTAAATGAATGTAAATAACTGGAATGACAAAGATTTACAATAATAACTATATATATATATATATATATATATATATATATATATATATATATATATATATATATATATATATATATATATATATATATGATATTAAGTAAACGGGAAGGCAAGCCTCTGAATGGTAGAAAATTTGAACTCAGTTATCTTAACCAACCTATTAATGAGTAAACTCTTGAATTGTTTCATTATGTTAATGAAGAGACACAGAATTTTGGGCACTGGGATATATACGTGTTAAAATCATTTAAATTTACTATGCAGTTCACTAACATAAATTAAGAGGTCATGTATTTAACACGTATTATTATCATCGTTGTTCATTGATAAGTACAATCGAAGTTAAATTTCAACAAATTGACATTTATACCGAAATGAAATATCAGTAAATAAAACTTTCATGGAAAAATATGAAAATTAGTCCTGTCGTAATTCAGTGAACAATAGGTTTAATAATCAAACTCCTTAAAATGAAGTTTCAACCTATTGAGAATTTATCTAAAATGCTACCTTTTACTCAGCTAAACTAAAATGATCTATGCACGATTGTATAAAATCAAAATTAAATAACAGTTTGTAGCAGCCCAGATTCACACATCAGTGAATACTTCATTGGGTTTTTGTCATCTATGTATTTTGGGACTTTAATTTTCTGTCAATGAATTGATTGGGAATTTTATAGACACTCTTCACAAATCATGTACCGTACGTGATAGTTTCAATTTAGTTTGTGTTGCAGTATACGCGAGATATAGTCTTCTTGGAAACCTTTCACGTTTGACCTTTTGGTATTAACTCAGTGATTTAACAACGTTGCCGTGCTTGTTACTTATATTGATATAAGCAGTATATGACGTGAGTCAGGAATGTAATGTCTGGTAGCAGAGGATTGAGAAGAACAAGGAAGGAAGAGTGGGAATAGATAGCAATTAGTATGGAAATACAAGAACAATGAAGTTCGAGACAATTATTGAACATTTTGCAAATTAAGTATTATAGTATGGTTTTTCTATTTTACGAAGTAACTCTGTAATTTTGTGCTAAATATTATCCGGTTGTCCTCACCTGTGATCTCCTTCACTGCAAGGTGATTTGTTAAAAAAAAATATCATGAAATTAGTCTAGATTACAAATGTTTGAAGTTAGATTTCGTTCATAGAATTACCCGGCAGAAAGTTTTTTATGAATCCAGTTGTTATGGTTTTTCTACCCACAATGTATCCTAGCTTGCTAAATATATACTTATCAGTCACTTTCAAGAACTCAGTTGAAAAATAAGGAATTTATGTAAATACAGTTTAAGCTACCGGACTAATTGGTAAATGATGCTTAATCGATTGTTAATATATATTTTGATGATGCTAATGGTACATACAAGCTTGATTTAAAAGAATGTATTTAGACCGATAATTTGAGAACGTTAAAAGTCTGTTTAGGTAGATATTGATCTGTTCCAGTCGTTATCAGAAGTGGAGACGTTACCCATTGCATCTGCAGAAGTTATGGAGTAAAATGTTAATGAGAAAACTGTTACGTAAGTAGGGGAATTAATAGTGGTTGTTAGCAAAATAATTAAAAGTAGCTAATCACCATTGATCCAAAATCGATCTAACCTATCAGTTACAAGAGAATACAGATAATGTGAGATTAATCGAAGCCTGTAGCCAAGAACAAATTAGAAGGATATGTGTATTAGTATGAAAATTGCTTAAGAGTAGTTGGAACTTCCAGAGTGATGCAAATGCTGCAATGTTTCGATGTCCTATATTTC